AAAAAAAAAAAAAAAAAAAAAAAAAAAAAAAAAAAAAAAACAGTAGCTCTTGGATTTTGTTGTTGTTGTTTTGTTACTGGTTAACAGCAAGGTCTCTAGCCCAGGCTGGCCTTGAACTTTCAACGTAGCCACAAATAATCCTGAATTTCTGATCCTGAGATTACAGGCATTATCATGCCAGGCTTCTACGATGCTGAGGACCAAACCCAGGAGCTCGAGTGTGCTTCAAAGGCTCTCAGTCAACTAGGCTGCCATCCCCTACCCCACAAAGTAGCTTTTCCAGGACAGGAACCAAAAAGCTACGGAGAAACCCTGTCTCGAAAACATAAATAAAAAAAATTTAAAAAAAAAAAAAGGAAGAGGAGAAGGCTGGAGCACAGGAGAGAGGGAAGGCAGGAGCAGGGCGGAAATCAGACTTTGATCAGAGTTTACTGACATACTGGATACCCCCTAGAACTACCTGCAAACTATTCCTTTTGATCAGGGTCCCCCACCCACCCCTGCCTTTTTTAAAGATTAGATCTAACTCCCTAGGGATGGGCAGTCAAGCCCTTACCTCCCACCTTCCTGGATTTTCCAGGGAGAAACCAAGGCCAGAAATAGAACCAAGTGATAAAGCGCTAACAACTCCCACTCTCTGGTGGCATCCACACTGCCCTGCCGCCCGGTGGGGAGGACCAGAGACCAGCTCTGACAATCCCAGACAGGGAGGTAGTGCCCCATTTGAATGGACCCAGGCAACTTACCTTTCAGTGGATAGAGTTCCTTTCCATTGACTCTAGCAACTATCAGGGAAGTGGGTGACTCATTTTTTGTGGCAGGAACACTGAGCATGTGGTCCATCAGCTAGGCAGAGTTAGGACTCACCTGTCTCATAGCAAATGGAGGCCACTGGCAAGCAAGCCTCGTGACTCCAAAGAAGCAGGCTAAACCTGGAACCTCCTGCCCACTCCCTCAGACCTTGATGGACAGGAGTCATGTGTCGAGGCCACTGCCAGGTGGCAGGCAGCCAGGCCAGCGGAGCGGTCTTGTCAGGGAAAGGAAGTGGTGGCTGGGCGCTGGGCCAGGAGTGGCTCCATTCAGCAGCCTCCAGACTGAAGCGTCTTTCCTGTCTCCTCCTCATCTCAGGGCCCCTTCCTTACCTCCTCAGGGGTAGACCAAGGAGCCAGCAGCAGCATCTAGACCTTCTTCCTGCTGCTCCCCATGGCTCTGACCTGCCAGTCTCTCCCCCAGGGGATAGTTTTCAAACAAGAATCTAAGCAAAGATAAAGATTTGAAAGGAGCTGGCGAAACAACTCTGGCTGGTGGTTCAAAAGGCTGAAGTCAGGACAATGAGCAAGATCTAACTAGGAACTGCAGGGGTTAATCATTTGTCCATCTTCAACAGCAACCAAGTAAAAGAGTAAACAGCTGAATTGCCCCTGGGGGATATGGTCTCAGAGCCCTGCCTCCTCACTGGCCAGCTCATAGGGTCCCAGGGCAAAGAGTCACCTCACTGGACTGGGGATGTCTCTAGTGAGCAAGGAGTGGCAGCTTCACCCTCCTCCTATGTGTCACATCCAAAGGGGCCACTGACCCTCTCCTTGGCCTGCACAGACACAGACCACACGATCCCCAACGCCAGCCTCCCAAGTGACAAACCTATTGTGCAAGGTGACCTGAGTTCCAGACAGAGAACAACAAAAGGTGCCTGCTATGGAGAACAGAATGATGCGGTTTCTGTTCTGTGGTTACTGCCTTTTCTCCTGGAAAGGGAAGCCCAAAGAGCACAGCTAGCGGGAGGCCCTGAGTTGTGTCTGGACACAGGGAGAGAGAGAGAGAGAGAGAGAGAGAGAGAGAGAGAGAGAGAGAGAGAGAGAGAGAGAAAAAAGAGAGGGGGGGCAGACAGATATATAGACAGACATAAAGACAAAGAAACAAACCAACAACAACAAAAATGTTCATGGGACCAGGTATTTCTTGTCTACTGTGTGGGGCAGGACCCCTCAGTTTGTACCACTGTCACACCGGCCAAGCCTCCCCTCCATTATGTGACCATTATCCAACTCCTTGTAGACAAAATAAAAATTAATGTAATACAAAACCTAAGTAAAAATTAGATTCTCTGCCTTCAAATGAGAAGTCACAAGCCGGATGCGCTCAACTGAATCCCAGCATTGGGAAGGCTGAGGCAGGAGGCCAGTCTGCACTACATAGCGAGACCCTGACTCAAGATTCAACAGTCGTAAGAGTTCAAGATGTTCGTGGAGGCAACTTATCCATCCTTACGTTCTGTTTTACTGATTAGAACAGTCTACCTGTTACTCAGGGATATATAGTGTTGGTAATTTTCCTCCCTGGTGATTGGCATTTTACTCTCTACTTTTTGGTTCTTCCATTTCGTACTTAGTAACAGAACCCCTGGGCCGTGCCCAGCAGACTTGCCTTCTCATGCCTGCTCAGCAGCTGGCTTATCTAGTCCATATAGTCTATATATTCATGGACCATGAACATCTCTTGAAGTTTTATGAAAACAAACTGAGGCTGAGAGAAAGCCAATGCCTAGGCTGGAGATAAGCAGGCAGATGGTTAGAAGAGGTGTGCCCTAAAGCTCAGTTTTCTGATGGTCCCTCCAATGATCCTTACACTCCTTTAATACAAAATACCACTTAAAACAGACAGCTGGGGCCGGGTGTGGCAGCACACTCCTATGGTCTTGTTATGGAGAGACTGAGGCAGGAGGATTGAGACTTTAAGGCCAGCCTACATAGCAAGACACCCCATCTTCCAAAACAGGAAGACTCAAGATAAACCTATGACATGTTCTGGCCCTCCTAAATCCCACGCTATGTCTGTCAGGGTTTTTCCAGACGAAACTGAACCAGTAGGATGTATACATATTTAGAAAGAGAATTATAATAAAAAAATAGCTTATACAGCTCTGGAGGCTGACACCTTCAAAATCTGCCCTGGAGAGCAGACACCAAAAGCAATGGGCTGGAAATACCCTCCTTGCGCAAAAAGATCAGAGTTTTGATCTACTCAGGCCTTCACTGACAGGAGGAGGCCCAACCTCATAGTGGATGCTAGTCTACACTACCCAAAGTCCACTGTCTTAAATGTGAACTACATGCAAACCCACCTTCGTGGAGTGATTGCAGACAAAGTATAATGGCATGTATGCATGAAGACGTCGTGAGAAGCTGTGAAAGCTAACCTAATAGACAAAACTCATAAATGGCATGTATTTGTTTATTCTCTCTGTGTGTATATGTATGTGTGTGTGTGCGCGCGCGCGTGCGCTTGTGTACACACACACACATACACATGAGATCAGAGGAAAACTTGTGAGATCATGGGAGTGGGTTCTTTCCTTCCACCATGAGGATGGAACTCAGGTCAAGCACCTTTACCCACTGAGCCATCGCAACAGCTCCTTCAAAACCTACCCTCACAGAAATATCCGTAAATATGTTTGGTAATGTATCTTGACACCCTGTGGCCCAGACCCATATGACTAACCACCACACACCCTAGCTAAAATCAGTCTGGAATAATCCCTTCACATCTAATCTACCTACGAAAGCATTGCTGTTGCCATGAAAACCACATATATACTTGGATACAGTTTGTGTGTTATGTGATGAAGAGGACAGGAGGGGGACCCAAGATTAATCTTAAAGATCCTCAGGCAGGGTAGTTCAGGATGAGAGGCTGAGGTACGAGAACATGGCCAGCTTGGGTTACATAGTAAGAGCCGGGCTAGTCAGGACCACAGAGCAAGACTGCTGCAAAACAGGGAACCCTGATTGCTCTTTGAGCCGACCAGGGAGGGGGACTTGATTGGGGGAAGGGGAGGGAAATGGGAGGCGGTGGCGGGGAAGAGACAGAAATCTTTAATTAATTAATTAAAAAATTAATTTAAAAAAAAACCGAACCAAAATCCTAAGTAGGGGAGGGCTTCCTAGACACACGCATGGTGTGCATAGCAGAAAGGGGCACAGTCTAGTAACTAACGTTGCTTAAGGAAGAAAAGACTTGGAATGCAGGAGCGGTGTGTCTGATGAGAGTTGCCTATCAACAGCCTCCTTCTGGAAGTACTAATGCTGGGATTCCATGTTAAGGTTTTTCCGTGGGGTCAGGTGATCTCAGCAAGTCTTTCCCAATCCAGATGATTCTGTGTCCATTTCCCCTGGAAAGAGTCCTAAAAGAAGTGTTCTTCACAGCAAAGGAGAGGGGGTAGACGTTCTGTCACCCAGATTCCCACGCAGATTCAACAGGAAAAAGCTGCCATTCCAGTCCACTGCCCAAAATAACTGTGTGGTGTCACTGACGAGGAATGGCTGGCGTGTTCCGGCTGGGTCAGTGACACCTCTGCGCAGAATCAGTCATTGTAGCCTCCAGCCAATGGGGAGCAGGGAGGAAACGCAGCTACCTGCCGCCTAACTGCCCCTGCCTCCGCAAGTCTTAAACTCCACCGCTGGACTGTTTTAAACCCAGATTAAAAACCCTCGCATACACTGGGAAGCACATTTCAAAGCATTTCTCAGTCTTACTCTCGTTTCCTTAAAGTTACCTGAGTACATGAAACCCAGGTCGTAAGAAACTGCATAAGACACTTGGTCCAGTTTCTTTATCAAGCCAAAGACAAAAACAGCAAGAAAAAGATAATAAAAAGCCGAAAGGAGGGAGATCCAAAGGTCAAAAGGGTCAAAAACTTAAGTAATACATCAACCAAGCTCAAGATACATTCCTCACAGAACCCCAGCTCAAATTAGCAAACTACAAAAGCAAGTTCTAAGTGCCTGGGTGAGGAACGTGGAGTTGGGAGACGTTAAAGATTCAAGGCCAGCCAGGCGGTGGTGATGCACGCCTTTAAACCCAGCGCTCAGGAGGCAGAGGCAGGTGGATCTCTGTGAGTTCGAGGCCAGCCTCGTCTACACAGCGAGTTTCAGGACAGCTGAGGCAGTGACACAGAAAACCCTCTCTTTAAAATACATAAATAAATAAATATAAAAAAAATACAAGGCCAGCCTGAGCTCCACAGTGAGGCACTCTCAAAAATCAAAACCAAAACAAATTAGGAGCCGGCTAAGGAACTGCAAACACTGATTAGGTATTTGCTATCAAGAATTGCTCATTCTTTACGACGCTGGCATTTGGCTGTTTACAGAACTCTTTATCTCGAGTATATGACAGATTTACGGATGAGAGGATGCATCTGGAATTTGCTGCAGCACAATTCCAAGGCAAAGAAGATTAGGCAGGAGTGCCGAGGAAACAGGATAGCCCACGTACCAGCCATTGCTAATTGATATCTAAGTTCCTCATGCTGCCCTACCCACCTTTGTACTTGTTAGACAGAAAACGTGCTTATACCCACAGCTTAGTGCTGCTGTTGACCGTGGCCAGAGAGGTTTTTCTCTGCAGTGGGCAGCAGTGCTGAGCATAGGGTTGAGCGCTTAGCTACTGAGTGTCTGCCCTAAATCAAGCCCCGCCCATCAAGGCGGAGAAATAAGAACCAGAGAGGATGGAGGGGAGTGCTGTGAAAGGAAACGCTGTCTCAGGATGTGACATGGCCTTTGCGCCCACGAACCCAACCCACTGCAGCTATGGTGACCCATACAAAATCAAGTTAACATGATCAGTCAGCATCCCCAATGGGCTGCTCTAAGTGGACTCCGTGGGGCTACTGGCCAGAAAGAGAGGACAAGAATGGGAGAGGGTGACATGTTGTGGGGTGGAGTGGGGGGGGTGAGGGAAGAGGTGGGGGTCCCTGTAGGAGTGGAAGGGAAGTTGATCAAGATGCAACTTTATACTTGTATGAAATTGTCAAAAAAATAAATAAAAGATACTCTATCACAAAAGGAAATAGGCCATTTTCTGACACTGAGATAAGGCTGTAGTCATTCAAATTAAGAGCCAAACATAATAAAATGCCAGAGATTTCCATAAAAGGAATGGCCTGTTTCTAAAACTTATGACAAACCGGTAGTGAGTACTATGCTTAGTACTGAACAGAGCTCCTGGGACCTGAGGCGTGAGGACAGTAGAGTAAAGAAACCAGGAGGAAAAGGGGGTTGGTGCTTTTCAATCCTTTATTTTTTTCATGAGATATAAAAATTAGTGTTGTTGGGCCAAAGAGACGGCTCAGTGGTTATCAGCGCTCACTGCTCTTTCAGAGGACCCCACTTCGGTTTCCAGCCTCAAAACCACCTAAAACTTCCACATTGGGGGAACCAGCACCCACTTCCAGCCTCTCCAGGTATCCAGACGCACAGCATACAACCACAAAGACATTCACATAGATACACACATAAAAATTTTAAAAAATAAAAATAAAACCTTAAGAGCTACTGTGTACAAAAGAGAACCGGGACCCCGTTCCTACTTTCAGCTACATTTACATCGTTCAAGATCCCGGAGAAGAATGCCGTCAGCTGGGGGCTTGCTGCTTCTACCATGAACTCAGCGACTCTATACTCAAAACCGACGGGCATAAACTAGGCTGGGAGTAAAACTGCTTTAACCCTGGGACGGTCACACTGAAGATCGGACGTTCGTGTCCAACAGAGGAAGTCCATCAATAACTGGCCATCTCCAGAATGTTCTTCTAAGTGGATAATAAACGTATACATAGAAGAAAAGAGAATACAGAAGCTGTCTGGAAAAACAGGGTCTCCATGAGATGAACCCTAGTGGGCCAGATTTACTTCATGAGCTCATGGTCTTGACCCAGTCTCACTATGTAGCCCAGTTGGCCTCAAACTCTTGGCTGGC